AAAAAAAAAACACACCAAAACCCTAAACAAAACACAAACAAACAAACCAACAACCTTGCCATGTAAATCGAACACAGGAGATAATGCTCTAGTGTTTCCTGGGGAAGGTGAGAAGTGATTCAAAACCCTGACTAAGCATGGGGCAAATAGATGGATAATTCTTCCCTCAGACCTGGGGTTTCTTTTGTATGGCATGTACAGATACATTCTCTTTGAAAATGAATATATCCATAGACACAACCTCACTTTTGCTAACATTTGATCCTCAGGGACAGAAGGAGCTTCCTGTGACATGCCTTACATACATGTTTCACATACAGAAAAGTTGTTAAAATGGAGTCCAATATGAAATACAGTGCTGCTGTCTGTGCTGTTCTGATGGCAACTGAAATTCACTTAAAGAAATTCCCTACTGAAAATGCTGAATCTGCCCTGAACATATTTTCATAGTTGTTGTCTCTGTAACACATCCATCCAAGAATCTGGTTTAGATGAGAAAATGAAAGAATGGGCATCATCATTGTATGCTTGATTGTTCTTAACTTGCAGCAAAGCATTTAAGGACTATATCAAATTGTTGACATAAGTGAAAACCTTTGCATAGGCTTGAAACATACCATCCTGAAAAAAAATGGGTATAGTGCTGTTTTGCTTCTATTTGTAAGTATGGACAATACTAGCTTAGTCTAGGTGCTGTCAGGTAGGTACCATGTTCAAGGCCACGTTGGACAGGGCCTTGAGCAACCTGGTCTAGTGGAAGGTGTCCCTGCCTGTGGCAAGGGGATTTGAACTAGATGATCTTAAGATCCTTTCCAGCCCTGTGTATTCTGTGATTCTGCATTGTTTTCCACACTTGGAGGACTCGTTTACGGCATCAGCTTTGGACAAGGTGGGTGACAGCTCTTTGCTTCATTGTGCTTTTTATAGAAATGCAACTAGTGGTGTTCTTTACAAGATCACTAGATGTGGTCTTGAAACTCTTACAGACTTTGAAGTACAAAATAGCATTTTTAATTGGCAGCAGCCTCTCCTGAAGAGAGGTGTTCACCTTGCATATCACTTCTGTGTCCTCCTAGTCAGTTATTCTAAGCAGAAGGAAATACTAAGAGTAGTTGAAGTAGAAGGCACAATGGATCTTACTGAAGAATGAAACTTGGAGCAAAAAAAAAGGTAGAATGAATAGTTGTGGAGTTAGCTTTTAAACTTTATCCATCCTGTGATCTCTTAGTCACATGAATAGATGCTTGTTGACTTGCTCCCTAGACAGACATTTGAGGTTTCAGTATTTTGTTTTATATCCAAAGGAAAACTCTTATTAAAGAATGACCCTATCTGGTTTTGGTGCTCTGGCTGGCCATTTTCTCCTAATTCATTTTAAGGGGTGTTTGATAGAAGAGAGCTTCTTGGCAGCTCTCCGATCTTAATAGCTTCTGAGAAAATGCATTGATTGACCCTTTTGTTTTCAAAAGATTGCTGTAATTTTCAGTCATTATCTATAAGGAAATCAGTGTAATTTATTAAACCAGCATCATGGATTAAGAATTAAAGACCTGCTTCTTTCATCATTTAAACTGGTGTTACGTTGATATTACCCCTGAGGAACTTTAGTAAGACAAAGAGCAAGTGGAAGAAGCTCCTAAGAATTCTTCAAAAGCAAGTTTCTGCACCTCTTTAATAATCTCAGAATGGATTCTTGAAAATAAATTTCTACTTTTTTTTCTGTTGCTTGTACCAAGGGCAAACTGCACTTTTTGGAGTTTGGATAATGAAAACAGTCCAAACAGTATCATCATAAAAAAATTCTTACAAGAATGAGCTTATGCTTATGCCTGAGAAGCAGAACACTTAGCTAGCACTCTGTATACAATGTTTGCAAATTTTGCAGGGAAAACAGCTTGCATTTAATCAGAAGAGAAAATGAATCTCTCTAGTCTCCCTGGTTTTTACAGAAGCAAAATATAAGCAGTGGCACTAATTCCTTGTTCCTTTCACGAGCCAGTTAGGTTAGATGCATTTCGTTGGTATGGCTTAGGTAGATTTAGTTTGTCTTTAAAATGTGTCTTAGAAGCTTTGCAGAATTTAAATTTGATGATTAAGGTGTGAAAGGAATAAATTACTTGCAAACATTCCATTGTGGCTTCATAAAATTGTAAGACAGTAATTATGTTTTATCAGGGTCATCTCATTTTTGTCTATTTTAATTCTGTGAAGTTTTGTTTTAAAGATCCAGTATGGAGTAAATGATTCACTCAAGCATAACATTTTAGTGCAGTTTAATGCAGGAATAAGTGGAATAATGTTCTGGTGAATTGGTGAACTCTTCCTTGTCACAAAGTCTATTGATCAACTACTTACTACAGTAGATTTCTGTTGATTATATCAAATAGCGACTTTCCAGGTCTCCACTGTAAATAGACAATGCTTTAATCCTGTGATAGGGACAATAGGATAAACCCAGTCATCAGGGGGTTTGGGTGCACTGCAGTGTCTTTTAAACCATTCAGTGTTAAGTAACAAGTAATCTAATCCCGCTACTTGTGAAGTATGGTAGTCTGAATTAGGGAAGTGAAATCTTGTATCTTTCACTGTAAATTTATTCAAAACTTGGGTTTACTCTTTTTTTTTTGTCTCGTTTGTTTGGTTTGGTTTTGTTTGGCTCTGTCTTCAGAGTTCCTAATAGACAAGATTTCTCAATTCTGCTTAGCCTTCAACAGAAACAAAGCCTTTGGTCAAAGCCCATACTAATAAGTTGTCTGCCACCCTCAGAAACGTATCTTTAATAGAATGGTTGGTTAAAGCTGGAAAAGCTTTTTGCAAGTGTCATGACAGCAGTTATTACAATGAACAGAAGCCTGTTATATGATTCTGAGCTACAGATGGTGTCTCCTTTGGTACTGAATAGTACTGCAAAATTTAAAGGGAGCAAAGTCTGTGATACACAAAGGGCACATTTTGCCTGCTAATAATAGGCTTGGACTGCCATAAACTCTTTATACAACAATACATATCATCTTTCTCAAATTTTTTTTCATCTTTCTTGTGGTTGAAAACCTGGCTAAATAATTTCCTATCGCTTTGCAGCAATTCTTGTGTGTGCTTTTCGCTGTTGTAAGCATAGTCAGCAAGGACAGTAAAACAGGTGTTTCAGAACACTGATCCAGACTCAATGCCTCACATCATGGGGTCTTCATATCAGCTAAAAGGACGGGCATAAAGATCTTTTTGATCAGTTAACTCCCCGAGATACCGACAGCTGCCGTTTTGTTATTGCCTGTGACTGGCACATTCAGAAATAGTATCTAAGGTCTTCCGCCCTGGGTGAGCTCTCCTGTGCCTTGGAGGGAGAAACAGTGGAGGAATGAAGCAGGATGGCAGCACCTACTGCTTGATTGTATTCAAAGTAGTGGCGTGTTGTTTACTGATAAACCAAGTCTTCACATTTTTTCTGGTAACAAATGGGACTGGTGACGGTGATAGTGATGGCAGGGGAGGTCAATACAGTGTTCGGTAGGCCAGTATATTTGGCAGAGAACACTTCCTCTGAATGCTCAGCTGCTAAGGTTAGACTGGTCCTTTCCAAAATTATACAAACATTTCTTCAGCAACCTAAGAGTTGATTTTTTTTTTTCTGGAAACACTCTGGGTCATGGGTTAGTACTGTTATTGATGTTTCCTTTCTGGGCTTATGTAGTGTAACTGACAGAATTACAGTGTCAGGAAATAATGGAACAAATTGTGTGCATTGCGCATAGCCAAGCTTTTATTTTCTTGCCAAAATCAACTGATATTTGAATGTGACAAGGGAACAAGACAACAAAGCTAGAATTAAGGGGCTTCAGCTACTTTATGGGGAACATGCTGGCATAGCCTGTAGAGGAAGGCACAACTTCTAAGAAAACTCTAAAGATTGTGTTTAATTTGGAGCTGCTCTTGAAGATAGCAGAGGCCACAGTATATGTCTTATGAAGTACAGGCAATTCATATCCACATCTAAGAGGATTATTTTGCTTTTATTATATCAATAAGGAGCTCATAGAAGAGTATTGTGGTCCATGGAATAGTCATATGCTCATGAGCTTTTCAGAATGTGAAATTTTATTTCCAAAGCCGGAAGTAAATTGATTCAGAAATATGGTATTCTCTTTCCATGCTTTATTGTGCAAATATTGTCATACGGTGTTTTTCCACAATAGAATTTAACTTTCATATTAGTGTATTTAAGTGTAAAATGGGGAACTGTGTATTAAATAAATAAATGCACACTGTAACCACCGATACTATTTGGTTTTGCAGGTCGTCTTCTGGATTTTGGGTCTGAAGGTACCCTCTTGCTTTCTCAGCAAATCATGGACATCGTTGGCTTTCTGAAGTCTCAATTCATTTGCCACCTTCTGATCTGCTACATATTTATAGTGTCAGGACTGATCATTAACTTCATTCAGCTCTTTACACTTATACTTTGGCCAATCAACAAGCAACTGTTCAGGAGGATCAACTGCAGGCTGGCTTACTGCATTTCAAGCCGTAAGATTTCATTTTGTTTTTAGAAGTGTTTTCATATTTTGTCTTGAGAGAACTCGTAGAAAAGTTTTGAAACAGATTTCAAAGTAACCTATGTAAAGGTCATTAGTGCTTCCTACAGCACTTGTTTGTATGAAGAGGTGTATGCTTTGTTGAAATGTCCTGTTCTGCTGAAATGTTTTTCTCTTTTATATGGATACTTGCTTGACTCAAGATGTTGAAGAAAGGCTGCCTCTCATTTGGCTATCCATCATGTTCCATTAAGCCAAATGAGAAATATTGACCAAATAATAGCTGGACTTGCTGAGATGCATTATCTGTAGGCTTACAGTATTAACAAGTCACTTCCAATAATGCAGTCTTTTTATCATGATTTTGTTTATGGCCTTGGTTTAATTTTTTCATGTGTGAATACTGTTCAGGACTGGGAAATAACAGTAAAAAAAGGAAAAATCTTTGATTCATGTGCTTCTTTCTTAAGCCAGTTGTTAACTATTGTTTCTTTGAATAGACATTTCAGACCTTATGCTGCATCTGTGTGTATTCATTATATGCTTATAGTTATAACGTAGAATACAGCATAGTGTGTAAGCATTGAAGGAAGAAGGGGTTGCAATTATTTTTATTTTTGGGGGCAGATAGGAACATAAGCTTAGGATATTACTTGTAGAAAAACCAGATCTTTATAACTACTGGGACATACAACAATTCACTGATGCTTGACTGAACAGGTAATTCCAGTGGAATGAATGAGACCTGTATCCATTCATTTCTTCTTTGTTAGTAGGAGGTTGGTAGAACCTCCACCCATCAACACTGAATTATCAGAGCATGTGTGGTTTTCTCGGTGTCACTCACCAGTCTACTTATATATTTGTTTTTAAAGAGCAGTGACTGCAGTTTCAGTACTGATTTACTTTAGTGCAACTTCGGACTGCCACACAGTTGCTCTCGTCTTAAAGCAGAAAGCATTCTCTGCAGAAGCTGTAAAGAAATATGGTGTTTGTGTTCAGTAGCTGGGTGCGTGGTAATAAATGTGTCCACCTCCCAGAGGGATTTCTTTGGGTCTTTCTGAAACTCAAAAGTGCTTTCTAAACAGCAAATTGTTGAAAGGTGCCAGCCTTCTGAGGCTCCCTAAAGATTATTTAAGTGTGATGTCACGTTCAATGTTGAGTGAATTATGGATGGTTTCATATGGGGGAAATACAGCCCTCTAATGTAGTGTTTAAGAGTTGTGTTGCAGAAATGCCACAGAATGGTTTCTTTCAGGTCACTTGTTCTGCTACTAGGAACCTGTAAAGGGAAAACATTTATTAGTATTCATAATAAACTGCTTGAGGATGATATCTTGCCACAAGTTGGAGTCCACTAGGGATTATTTATCTCTCATCAGTGACTCTGATGTGCAGATATTCAAAGCATTTTTTTAAATGTATTTTGACTTCAATTTCAGAGCTGCATCAGCATGTATAGGCCCATATAAATCAGGGTGCTGTTTTATTATTTCTGTAATAAAGAGAGGATGTTCCTGCTGAAAAATTTCATTGCATCTGTGCATATGCCCCAGAAGTAAGGAGTCTGCAAGTACTATTCATTTGTATGTACAAACAGTGGCATGAATAGGGCCAGGTTTTTACCTTCTGCTTGGTAGTATAGTACATATTTGAAGGCATGGAATGTACAAGATACTGTATACAGCTGTATAAAGGTATGTACAGGTGTATTATTATTTTTCATGCAGTGTCTTCTGCCTCATTCTTCCTTTTGGCCACTTAAGGCAGACATAAGCTATTCTGAAATTTCCAGACCTTCTTCAGCTGCCCTCAGTCTAGTCTCATCCAGGGGCTAGTCACTGTTTAAGAGCAAATACATGCTTGTCCTTGGTTGGGCAGATGGCTTTGTACTCAGGGTTTGCTGATCTAGTCTTCAGTGTTGATGCCACTGGAAAAAGTTGTGTTGTGAGATTTTTGCTCAGTTGTGCTTAGAACAAACTGTATCTACGTTAAGGACGATTACTCTAGCTTTAAAACAGAGCAAGCTAGCATTTAATATGAGTCACCCTTATCTGAGTGGTATTTGAAAAGGGGAAAATGATAGTTGATTCAAAAAAAGTATTTGGAAGAACTGAAGAATGCAGTAGACCAGTTGATCAAAACAGATGTGTTTTTACAGTAGTATGTGTAAGATAATGCTTTTTTGGTGCCATTGGTATGTTGAGTACTAAGTTAACTTGGGCCTGTATGGGTCTGATGAAAGTCATGGAAGCAGCCTCCAGTTTGAGAGAATGAATCTTAACCTTGGTGAATATAAAGAGGCATGTGCTTTGCAATGGTGGCAGGCACCATGTTGCTTTGAGTGGCTGGTACAGCCAGAGTCCCCAGGTCAACCAGAGTGAAATGGAGCAGCATGGTTTAACTTAAGAATAGAATGATGCCACAGCTGCCTTTAAATCTTGCAAGTTCAGTGCGTTTCCATTAGATGTCAAAGGTAAGATAAATGATTCCATAAAATTGGAGAGAGTGTTTAATCTCTGAAACTATGCTCTTTGGAATGGCTATTCTGTATTTCAAGCAGTGGTGATGTTTTCTTCTACCCCTCTTCTTCCTATCTCCCTTGTAGTACAAGAACAAAATATTCTCACTTCATGTGCAATGTCTGCTGTCATAGTGCATATGGGAGGCTAAACTGTTACTGTGGTTAATGACTTACCCTTGCTTCAGTAGTTCAGCTAGAATTGGGGGTGCAACAACTTACTTTTAATGGAACACAGCAGGTGTAATGGCACACACCAAGTTGCCTTCAATAATTGGTGTTGAGAAGTTATCTTTCCTCAAACCAGTTGTGAGTCCTGGATTGGTCAGATAGAGTGACTTTAGCTTCTCTAGTGACCTGCTTCATTTTGTGTTAGCTTTGGGGAGAACTTTCTAATAACAGTGTTGAAAAAGAAAAAAATACTGGTTCTGATGAACTGGCAACTTTTAATGAAATTTTAATTGGGTAAATGTTCTTTAAGTGCAGATTGGAAGCCTTACTCAGGTCAAGTCTCCTGCTCCCCAAAGGCTGTTAGCCATTCACCATATTGCAGCTTGGGTTGCTTTTAAATCTCCAAGATACTTCTCATGTTTTACTATGAATAAACTCACCCTGTTTGATCACATTATCCCATTTGACAAATACCTACAAGGTAATGGTTAGTTCTAGTTCTCCTTCGTCTGTATGTCTCAGAAGAAAGTGTTCAGAGACATACAGAACAAAAGAACACTTTACTGAAGACTGTTGTTTGCAGAGAGTGGACATTCAACTTGAAAAGAACAGACTTTTGTCTGTGTTGGTCTTGAGATAAGTTAAAAGACTAGTAAGGGTTACAAACACTCTATTTTGTTTTAAGTTTACAGAAACAAAACCAAACAAAACCCCAAAGCCTTTGGGCTTCTAACTTTCAGAAGATATTTTCTGGCTCCAAGTATGTATTCACTGCCTGGTTCAACTGCTTTTTAATCCCCCTTTTGTAAAATGACAGCCCTGATAAACTCTCCCTAAATAGTGAACTCCAGAATGTACGTCTAGTAAGGAATTTGAACACTGCAAAGCTCAACAAGATGGTAACAGTAAAAATTTTAGAAGTGTGCTTGGAAGGTGGCATTGGAACAAAGGCTGGGCAAGCAATCAATGTTGGTTTTTATTTTTAAATAGTTTAGGGTCCTCTTGTCCTCAGTCTCTTTTTCCAAAAGACTGAGAGCCAAGATGTATGCCAAGGAAGGAAGCACTTAGTGTGGAATACATCACAGTTCTCATGGATGCCATTTGTGCCTGAATTGGAAGAGGTTGAATGGATTTTCCTCTGCCCTCCTTATCTGAGAACAGCAAACCACTAAAAAGGGTATACACAGCTTTTCTGCACTATCTTAAAAAGTTGTCTGAACACATAGAAGGGACAGATTGTCTTGGGTATTAGTGCCATGTGTGCACATGGCTGTGTAGCTTGCTGGGTCAGTGGGAAAGTGGTTTGTACTTCACGAACCAGTTTGTGCTTGGTAGAGTGCTGCCCTGGAGTGAGCAGAGCATGCTGGGCTTCTGCAGACTGTTTGGGACATAGGTCTGTCATGTGCGAAGACCATGAGAGTGAGACATTCACATACAGTACAAATGTTTTCTTTAGTGGTGCAGGGTGTATATACTCAGGAAGGTATTTGCTTATGAGTGGTGCAGCTGTTGATGGCTTGTCCTGTTGCTGCCCCTGTGTTGGGGGAAAACTAACTTCTCCTTGTGCTGAGATGCACCTTGTGCTACCAGGGTGAGTGGCAAACTGGCCTCCCGTTGACTCGCTGCACTTTGAGGTGAACTTTGCATAAACAAAAGATCTGGCAACAATGGCACAGTGGTGTGGACAGGCTCATAAGGGCTTTAATATAAATTGACTTAGCTTCTATTCTGACTTCATAAATAAATTACAGTAGTACTAATATCTATTCTTGTGCAATGAAAGGGGTGTTATTACACCTCTGGGTAAAGTTACACTATGTGGGCTGCAGTTTGTTAATCCTTCTGAGGCGAAGGCCCTTTTTTGCATGGAAAGAGGCACCCTGATGCCTGCTTATTGCAGCAAAACCAAGATGGAAACTGATTATTCTTATGACTGTGCTTTCTAGAAACAAAACCAGAGGAAATTGAGAACTGCTTCAAGTTCATGATTTTGGCTGGCTGTTACAAGACAGTAAACCTAATTCCTTCCATGTACAACTGTAGGCTTTGCAATATGAGAACTGGGCATCCAAATAAGGCTCCGTGGTAGTATTTGGGCCATGTTAATCCTCAAGATATTGTTTCCCTGCATGCCACCCACTGCCCACTTGGAGATCAGAGGAGCCCTTGGCCATTTTACTTGTTGTTTGTAGTAAGGTGGTATGGGGCAGAGAGAATTCTTTCTGATGCAGTTGGGCAGGTGGGAAGCCAGAGGGTCCTGGAGAGGCAGGGTGCTCTTCGTCCTCCACTTTCTTCTACTG